TTTAGAAATGTGAATGATTAATTTGTTTTGTTTCTTGCTATTTGTTACGTGCACATTCCTCATGTTGGCTGGTCACCAATTTTGCTGTGGATTTAGAATTAACCCACAACAAAAAAAAAAGGTGAGAAGGTGTTTAAATATAAAATTATAAAATATTTTATTTTTGTATTCTTATAACTAAATTTTTCTCATTGCATATGAGTATTAAAGTTTTAGAGTCCTTCTTTTGTAGCTGTTTGTTAAGATGAAATGAAATGTGATTTCTTCATGTGTATGTGTGAAAAAAGAGGCAAAGGAGAAAGTGGGGAGGAAAGTGTAAGTATCATGTAGCTTGGTGAGGAAAAGTGTAAGTGTCACATAGCTTGGTGAAGAAGATGGGTGAATAAGTAAGGAAATTTCTCTTAATCTGTGGTGTTGTGAATATGTTGCAGAATGTTGCCGCTTCTTACTAGCTTGTCTGGTCTAGTGACTTTGCTTATATACTCTTCAAAGGGATCACAAAGCATGTTTTTTTTATTGCTGGTGAGAACATTACCTATTGGTTGAAAAATGTTAAATATTTATTTTCAAAGAATTAATTTATTAACTGGAAGGATGTGCAAATCTTCTGACTTTGGATCATTCTTTTATCATTTGGTATTTGACTGGTTTTCTGTTTATTTCTGTCTTCACACCACAGTTTTTACAGCTTATCAATTTATACAGGTTATTTAAAACAAGAAAATATTTTGGGATTTAAGAATTTAAAAAAAATAATAATGATTTAATATTTTCAGTACTATCTGAATTAGCTGAAGCATTGGAGTAATGCATAGCAGCTTGGATTGAGGAATCGGAGTGCTACGTTTGAATTCCATTCAAATCCATTACATTCACTTAGGTGCTAATACCCTTGAGAAAGGTATGACTCCTCTTCTTCTTCCCCCATCTATGGGTAAATAGCAGAACATAGCCTTGGATGGCAACTGGTCTACCACAGAAAGAAATGGCAAACTACTTTGGAAAAAAAATCTGCCTCTTTAGTCATGTATCGAAAGATACACGATCGCCTAAGCATGTATCACGCATGGCACAAAACTGACTGACTGACTTGTTAAATATTATTAATTTTTGACTAGTTTTTCTTTCATATTACTTCTGTTTTTATTTACACCTAGTATTAATAGAGTTGTCTGAATTTCTTAGATGAAGCCTTGTGAAACATTAAATTTTGACTTGTTTTTCTTTTGTATTATTTTTGTTGTTTTTTTTACACTTAGTAGTAATTGTGTTGTTTGAATTCTTTAGATGAAGCCTTGTCAAATATTATTAAATTTTAACTCGTTTTTCTTTCATATTATTTTTGTAATTGATGTAGTTTAAATAGTATATTCTGAATTTTTAGATGAATTGTTCTCTGATTATTTTCTGACAACTTTTTATTCATATTATTTTTATTGTTTGTTTACACGTAATTGCAATAGATGTAATAGTATTATCTAAATCTTCTTAGATAATCTTCTTAGATAATCTTCTTAGATAAAGCATTTTCAGTTATTATTAGTTTTCTTATTAGTTTCTCTTTCATCTTATTTTTGTTGCTTCTTTACAGCTAATAATAGTCAATAATTTATCTTAATCTATAGTAATTTTAAACTGCCTGAATTTTTTGAAGTATTTTCCATTATTATCAATTTTTTACTTGTTTCTCTTTCATCTTATTTTTGTTGCTTCTTTACTTTTACTAATTCAGTCAGTTATGTGCCATACATGATACATACTTAGGCGATCATGTATCTTTTGATACATGACTGATGAGGCAGATTTTTCCCGCAGTAGGTTGCCATTTCTTTCTGTGGTAGACCAGTTGCCATCCAAGGCTATAGAACCCAGTCTGTCCTGCTATTTACCCATAGCTAGGGGGAGAAGAAAAGGATTCATACCTTTCCCAAGGGTATTAGCACTTAAATGAATGTAATGGATTTGAATGCAATTTGAACTCAGCTCTCTTATTTCTTAATCCGAGTTGCGATCATTACTCCACCGTGACTCCAATTATTAATAACAAATATAATAAACTTAAGTTGTTAGAATTTCTTAAATGAAGCCTTGTCAATTATTATTCATTTTTGACTAGTTTGTTTCTCATTTTTATTTTGTTAATTACTCTAAACAGAAATTAAACTGCAGGAACTCTTATTGAAAGTAGGCAAGGAAAGTGAGAAGAAAGGACTACACATAAATTGTAAGAAGACAAGATATATAGTTATTAAGAGAAGGAATATGCAAAGATGAAAACTATGAATTGAAGATGCCAGAATCAAGCATGTACAAAAATTTAAGTATCTGCACCCTATTTCAACAGAAAATGTAGCACAGAAATCCAAGGGCACATTGAAACAGTGAAGGACACTCCCAAAAGCTAAGCAAAGTATTAAGAAACAGGAAAATTTAATTGGAAACAAAGAAAAATGTGATGAACTGTTTTGTAATATTACTCCTCCTATATGGCTGTAAATGCTGAACAATCTCATCACAGATGAAGAAGAAACTTGGGTGAACAGAAATGTGGTTCTACAGAAGAATGCTGAGAATACTATCAATTGAACATATGAGCAATGATAAAGTTTGAGAGAAACTGGAAACAAAAAGGACACTTATATTTAGAATGAGAAAGAAGCAGTTGAAATTTTTCGGGCACATAATGAGGAAAGAGGACTTGGAGAATTTGACATGCTCAGGATATATTGAATGTAATAGGGACAGAGAAAAGCAGTGAATAATCGACTTAAGAGATTGTGAAAATGGTTAGCAGAACAGGGACTAGAAGAGATAGCAAAAAGACACACCTTACTAAGAGCAACAAAAGAAGTTGGGGAGAGTCATAATTAATCATTTATATTCTGAAGGGACATGACACAGAAGAGCAAGATTCTATCAGTAATACTAGCATTAAATGCTGACCACTGACAATCTCTTTTCTTGTTTGTAATCATTATTTTCTAAGCCAAGGTAACCAAAGAACCAAAGAGCAGGGGTCAATCAACCTTTCAGGCAGTGATAGTCTGCACGCTTCTAAAATCACCATGCAAAAATTAGCATTCTGCTTGGTGGCTGAGATAATTACATATTTTCTCCTGGTGCCAATGTTTTGTCTTTGGGCCAAATAAAAGACACAATTTCAATTGGGATTTTTAAAGTCAGCCTTAGTTTCTGGCTATGGTTGATATGACAAAATCTTCAACTTTGCCATGTGGTTCTGTGCCAGATGAAGCTAAGAGTAGTAAATATTTATAGACAAGTTCTAAAAGTTACAGAATTTTCTTACCGAAAGACTGGAAAACCTCATGTCAGTGCTAAATAAAGCTGGCATTCATACAATGTTTGGCACCAAAGGTTCTAGATGTGTATGAAAGATTTTATAAATATCCAAATCTAAGGTGAAGTACTGTTTACCATAGGTAAAGGGTCAAGACTTGGAATGTAACAGGATATGATGGCATATAAAATGACTGCTGAGTTTCGAAGACTAGTCACAAAACTTCTAATATGAAGTTGAAACAAGTGATAAACAAATAATGAAAAAAATATCTTATTATCTTTAGTGATTCTTGAAAATTTGTTATTATCATGATTCACATCTGTAAAAGCTAACACTGTTTATGGATATCATTGCAAAGTAATTAGTAGCCTTATGGAAAGACAAAATGAATTCATTATGTTTATGGTATTGACTGATTTGTTTATTTATTAAGATATATACACAAAAAAGTTATTGCTAAAAAAAAATAATCAGATGCACTTACATCTGGTCTAGTGCTTCTGCTATGCATTTAGAGAATTCATGATAAACTACAAATAAGAATCTGCAATGTTATTGGTTTTGACCTGGTATCTTGACTTCAGTCACATTCCCACTGCAGTAACATAGATTCTCAGTAGTTTTCTATAAATATTTTCATGGTAATTGTTTTGATGAGCTTTTGACATTAATACCTAGATTTTATAAATTTAACAGTACCACTAGATTGGTAGCAAAGTCTCATGACTTTACATTTGAAATGGCTAGATGTAACTGTAAGTTCTATGCTAACAGTTTCTTTTCTTTCACTTCTGTTACATAATGCAAAGGCCAGCGCCAGAAAGGTCAGTGTGCCACATAGGCATGTTATTTTGACAGTGATGGATTTCCTTTGTTTGGGTTTTGGATATAACTCCAAAACTATGTATTCAACTGAGTACCACAAGAATTCTGAAGTGTCAATACACCTTCCACAGCCAGGTTAGTGACTGGCAAAGACCATGTGTGGAGGGACACTCAGCTAATATGCAAAATGTGTTCCTGTGACATCATTTCTCCCACTGCCTCTTAGAATCCAAGCTACCACCACTCTCTCTTAATAAAACAAAGAAGAAAGAGAAATGGTCCTTTTTTTTGGTAGCATTTCATGTATTAGCATGGGGACCCAGAGATAACACAGAATGCAATACTCCTTGCTTGTGAAACTCTCTTGCAGTTTATTGATCTCTAATTTTGATCATTAATCAATGTGAATCATTATATCCTGTCTTCTTAATTCCTTTTCTTTTATTGTTCTGCTTCCTTAATGATGCTTGCTTTTTCTTATATGCTCTCATACTTAGTAACACCCTTGCATCATAGTGGCTTTATTGTCTTGCTTGGGGTAAAATGATTAAAAAGAAAATATCCTGTTTAAAAAATAAACAGGGCATCTACTCAAATATGGGTATCCTCTAAAAATAACATTTAAAGTGATAAAGCAGGTAAAATAAACCTTTTGCTGATTTAAGCCAGAGTCCATGTTGTACACATTGTGAAAATGTGTCTTGGTGGTGGTGGGAGGGGGTGGTGAGTAAATTGTAAAAACTAACATGCATACTAGATGAGCTATGTCTCTCCTGTTCAGATGGCTTCTGCAATGGACTCTACTCTTTACATTTCATTGCATTAAGGTACTGAATAAAGAAACAATTAAATCTTCCAATAAGCTTCACTTGATATGCACTATAAAGTTTCTTTCTCCTTTTTTTCTTCTTTCTGTGTTATTTTCTTTCTTTCTTTTTTATTTTGCATAAATCTGTTCTTTCTTTAGAATTATTTATTTAGTCTGTTCTTTCTCTCTTTCTTTCTAATGAAACTATTTCTCATTCTATTTCTTTGGCACTTATTTTCTTTCTTAATTTCTTTCTTTCTTTTTCACTTAATTTTTTTCATTCTATTTCTCATTCTTTTTTCTCTTTTAAGCAACTTTATCTCTTTTTGAAGCAACACTTTTCTTTCACTGTTAATTTCTTTCACATCCTCATTCTTTCTTTCATTATTAATTTCTTTCTCTTTCTTTCCCTTTTAAGCAACATTTTTCTTGTACAATGAATTTCATTCTTATTCTTGCTTTTCATTCTTTCTTTTTTAAGCTGTTTTCTTTCATTATTAATTTCTTTCTCATTGTTCTTTCATTCACTTTTAATCAACTTTCTTTTGCTCACCATTAATTTCTTTTTTATTCTCATTTTCTTTTGTTTTTTTTTCTTTCTTTATCTTTGGAGAACATTTATTTCACCATTATTTTTTTAATTCTTTCTCTATTAATTTCTGCCTAATTCTCTTTCTTTCTTTCATTGATGATGAGTTTCTTCTTCATTTTCTTTTTTTTTGATTTTGTTTTATATTCTATATCTTTTGTTCTTTCTTACTTTCTCTTCAAAGTAACTTATTTGTTTCTTTCATTCTTAATTTCTTTCTCATTCTGTTTTTTACTATTTTTTTTCACCATAAAGTTCTTTCTTGTTTTTCTTTATTTTTTTCTTCCCTTTTTTTTAAGCTACTTTCTCTATTTCCTTCATTCTTTCTTTCACTGTTTTTGGCTTTTGATCTTTTGTGCATCCAACTTCTGTTATACCTGGTCTGAGACTGATCCATTTTCCACCTTGTTTTTAAACAATAAATACACATTCTTTTTTATTCTACTTACACAACCATCATTCATTCATTCATTCTTTAGTTATTTATTTTGTTCTTTCTGAAGCTTCCTTTTTTCTTATTTCTTTTATTTCAATATTCTTTCTCTCTCCATGCTTTAGTTCATTCTTCTTTCTTTCTTTTAGAATACTATACATTTCTTCCTTTCTTCTTTCCTTTCTTAGAATTTATTTTGTCCTTTTGCTTTGAAATGTTTCTTTCTTTCTTTCATTCTTTCTTTCTTTCTTTTTATCACTCTTTGCTTTTGTCTTTTTTCTTTTCTCACTGCTTTTCCTTTTACTTCTCTTTTTTATTTTCAGTTCTGTCTATTGCTTATCTTTTCTTTCTTTCTTTCACTGTTTTTCGCTTCTGATCTCTTATGCATCCCATTTCCATTACACCGAGTGTGAGAGTGATCTATTTTTCCTTTCACTTTCTTTTTAAACAATAAACAAAAAAAAAAAAGTTCTTTTGTTGTATAATCCCAAGTTATACATTCTTTTCATATAAATTAATAATGTCAGTACAGATGTTGGCTGAATTCTTTTAAACCTGCTTTTTCTTGTTCATCTTATCTTTTTTTTTGTTTTTTTTTGTTTTTTGTCAGAAACTTCTTTTGGTGGTTCCTTTTTATTCTTTCTGTATTTTTCCTCCAGATACTTTCTGCTTTCCCCTATCTTTTTTGTTTCTTTTATCAGAATTTAATTCTTTCATCTTCATTCTTCATAATTTTCTGTTGATTTTTCTCTTTAGTTTTTCCCCTTATTCTTTCTCATTTATTAAAATCCTTCCCACTCCATCGTTTTTCTTTCAATGTGTGTTTTTTTTCTTTTCTTACAAAAAAATAATCATCCATTTCTTTTATGTATTGTGTTCCAAAAGAACATGGATGTTCATAGCTCTTCACAATTTCCTATCATTTGCAGCTCTTAGCTGCGTTTGTCTTTTTTTTATTCCTCTCATTCCCTATACTGCCATCCATTTACACAAATTTGTTACATACATTACTCACTATTTCTTTCTATTCTTCTTGCCTTCAATATATCCTATGAGTGTCAAATTCCCCAAGCCCTCTTTCTTCATCATACATCTCCAAATTTTTAACTGTCTATTTTGGTTCCTAAACATGTCGAATTCTTGATCACATTTTCCTTAAAATTTCCTGATGCTCACATGATCCATCTCTGGTACTCAGCATCCAGGTTACAGAACCAGATTTCTGCTATTTCAAGTCACCTCTTTATCTGTGAGGAAACTCATCAGAATTCACTGCCATATATGAAGATTGATATTACATAGCAATTCTGCATACTTTTTTTTCTAATGAAATTTTTCTGTTTCTTAATACTTTGTTTAACTTTTGGAAGGCATCTTTTATTATTTAAATGAACCTTCTGATTTCTGTGTCATATTTTCTATTATCAGTTAAAACACTTACCAGATATTTAAAGTTCACTACTTTCTTTCTTGATTTTATCTCAAATTCATTGCTCACATCTTGGGCTGTTCCTTATGTGAAGACATATATTCTGTCTTCTTTTAATTAATGGTTAGTCCTTTCTTCTTGTTTTCCTTTACTGCTACTACTACTACCACTACTGCTACTACTACTGCTACTACTTTACTGCAGTTATTGCAGATTTTTTTCTGTCTGTCATCAAAATGGTGCCATCTGTATATCTTAGGTTGTTAATATTGTGCCTACCAGTAATAAATCCTGGTAGAACTTCTAGTTTTTTTATTAGGATCTTTTAATATTTTCTTTTTTCATTTATAATTTCATTTATATATTATTTTCATCTAAGCATCCTCTTTCTTTATAAATCTTTTTCTTTCTTCTGAATTATTTATTTTTATTTCTATTTTTTTTTCCTAGCATCTTTTTTCCCCTCTGTTTTTAATATTCCATCATTCATTCTTTTCTCCTAAAATTTTTAATTTTCTTATCTCTCTTTAATATCCATTCCCTTTCTTTTTCAGTTTTATCATGACCCACCTTATTTCAATCTGCTTTCATTTTTCTTTTTATCTTCTTTCAAGTTCAGAGTTTCACTGTCTTCAGGCTGGGATTAAAGTGTAGTATTTGTTCCTCACCTCTATGCTGTTTTGCTATCTTTGGATAGTTCATGGAAAAGCTTTGATGGATGCCTAGTCCTGGAGATTCCAATCCTGCAGCAATAAGTCCCTCATTGCACTAAAGAGGGATGATTTGAGAATACCAACACCAGCATAACAGTGGTCATGGAAACTGGACAATTTTTGGCCTTAGGCCATATGTACCTGTATTGGCACACTATGTTAAAAATGACCTCCTGTCATTGTGTAGGTGGGTGAGAAAATACAGTCTTTTTCAAATTTTTTTTTTTTACATTTTTTTCTTTCTTCTGTTGTCATTCTGCTTTTTTTAAAAAAACTCTTTTCTTCATTTCATTCTTTTTCTTCTTTCTTACCATTTTTTTTACTTCTTGTTTCATTTCTATTTATGTTTACCTTTCTTATCATATTTTTTCCCTCTTCTTCTTCTTCACTCTACAGGCACTTTCTTCTCCACCCGCTATAAATTCCATACTTTTCTTTGATCTTTTCTTTGTCATTTGATTTTGGTTAATTCCCCTCCCCTTTTCTTATTTGCTCTTTAACCTCATTGTTTTTCTTTTTATTACATTTTTTTTCTTCTTGGTATTCTTTGTTCTATTTCTATATTTCCCTTAATTATTTAATCCATATGGCAGTTGTTTACATGTTTCTTCTTAAGATCCACCTGCCTAACATTATCAATGTGTAATTTATGGATCTTCCTTTGTCTTCACTGTCTTTCTTCTCAATTTTCTATTTTGATTCTTCTTACATAATTTCTTTTCATTCATTCATTTTTTTTACTTTCTTTCTTTCTGTAGCTTGCCTTTTTTTCTTTCTTTTCAATTTGCCTTCTATCTCTCCTCACTTTCTTTCTTTTTATTACTCTTTTCTTTGACCTTCTCTATTTTTTCTACTTTTCCTTTTACTTTTTTCTTTCCTTCACTCCTGTCTATTGCTTATGTTTTTATTTCTGTTTTTGTTTGTTTTTTTCTTTTTACCACTTTTACTTTTTTGTAACTTTCCTTTTTCTTTTTTTATTCTTTCTCACTTTCTTTCAACTTTCTCTTTATTCAGTTTTCATTCTAGCTCTCCTTACTTTCTTACTTTCTAAATGTTTTCTATTTCTTTCTTTCTTTCTTTCTTTTTTACTTTCTTTCCAATGATTTTCTCATTTTTCTTTCAAAATATTAATTTCTTTCTTTTTTCTTCATTTCTTTTTATTCCTCTTTGCTTTGGTCTTCTTTATTTTTTCTTCTTTTTTTAGTCTGGTCTATTCTTTTCTTTCTTGATTGTTTGCTTCTTCCACTTTTTCTTTTTGTAACTTTCCTTTTTCTTTTTTCTTTCTTCCTCACTTTCTTTTTTTCTTTCTTTCCTTCTTTTTTTATGTATGTATTCTTTCCACTATTTTTTATCTCTCTTCATTTCTCTAGCTTTCTTTCTTCATTTCTTTTTTAACTTCTTCCTAACGACTCTTCTTTTTTAGCCATCTCTTGCATTTCTTTCTTTTTTCTTTTACTTTATGTATATCTTAGTTTCTTTCTTTTCACTCTCTTTACCTCTTTCTTAATTAATTTCTCAAACCCTCTATAGTTCTTTCTTTTTATTTTTCACTACTCTTTACTTTCACATCTCTCTTTCTTCTTTGTTTGATTGTTTCTTTTTTCTTCCACTTTTACTTTTTTGCAGCTTTCCTTTTTCTTTCTTTCTTCTTTCTTTCTTTCTTTCTTTCTTTTTTCACTTTGAATTCTCCATCTTTTCCCACATTTTCAGCATCTGTTTTGTTCTCTATATTTTTTTTATCCTGTTCCCTTGGCCACCTCATCCAACCTCCCAACTCTAACTAAAAACCATTCTTCTCCACCTCTGACCATTTTTCTGCCACCATGACTCTGTGTTTTTAATGTTGGCGCCATGTATTTTTCTTTGTTGAAACTTCTTTTCTGGCTTCTTTTATGCACTGAGAGTGAAAAACAAAAACACCTTGCAATGAATGAAAAAAACAAAGCAAAGCAAAGGAAGCAGATTCAATGCAAAACAATTATCAGCAAGCAGGCTCTTACATGTGTACGCATGCTTCAGCGTGTATATTTACATGTGTAAGTGAGTGCATATCCATGTCACATTCGTTGATGTTCTTTTCTCTACATTCTGCATTTTTCTGGGATTTTTTTTCTTACAGTGGGTGTCCTTTCTCCGTTCCTGATAGTGATCTCATGTAAGGTGTGACTCTGATTTGAAGCTTTCTTTTACCCTCATTTTCTCCTTGTATCCATTGTGCTTCTACACGAGTCATATCTGTGTTCACAGGAGATCAAGTGCCAGCCCATAATAACCTATGGAACTTCAGTTGTATGCAAACAGTAATAATAAGGGTAACATTAGCCATTTCTTTATTTATTTCCTTCTTTTTCTTTCTTTCAACACTAATTTTAATTCTCCATTTTTTCCCCACATTTTCAGCATGTTTCGTTCTTTATATTTTCTAAATTCTGTTCCCTTGGCCACCTTTAAAAAGAAACATTTGGGACTCATTGGTTGAGCAACCAGTACTAATTCAGTTATGCTTTTCTTCACTCTTTGGTCATCTGGCTGGGATTAAAGTATAGTATCTGTTCTCATCTGTAACACTAATATTAGGTGCTTCCTTATAAGGGAATATCTGGAATTCACTGACTGATCAGTCAGCAGTATTGTCGGTTGAAATTTATAAAAACTTTCTATAAAAACAATATTTCATGAAAATTGGTATTTCAAGTCCACTATCTGTTATTGTTCTTTCCACTCTTGATGTAAGCTTCCTTTCTAACCTTTTGTTTGAAGTTGTGTGGAATGTCAACATCTTGTCAAAATATTGTCATTATTTTCTCTTGCTACATGTGCTATCCATTTTAGTTGTTGCTGCTGTTGTTAGTCCTGAAGTAGTGCAGTTTCTCTTATTTGGTACAGTTCCTTGTTCATGCTTCTCTAGTGCCTGTCCACAAAATTCAAGGAAGTATTGTCCTTACTGAGACCCACAGGTTTCATTTGCTTAAAGCCAGTTTTAATCACTGACTTGCAATAGTGGTTATATACAGCTGATATTTTAGATCTTTCTGAACAGGTTTGGTTTCTCAATTTGACAAAGCTATTTAAGAATAAATATACAAATATGCAGTATATCCACCATGACACCACGATTTGTAAGTGTATTCCAGGTACATTCATCACAGCCAAATGTATGTGATATGAGGACAGATATTTATAAAGTTAGAAATAGGATCCTATCAGAAATACCTTTATGATGAATAACCCAAGTCCACTTTGAAGACCTCTGATGAAGAGTGTTCCCAAATATCTAGATATTTTTCCCAAATTGCCTTGGCTATCTTGTCCTTCAAACTTATAAAAAAAAATAACCCTCTCAACACCTGGCCATAATGCTTCCCCACTACTCCTCTTTACAGATGCTAAGTGCATCAGGCCCTAGGGAACACATGCAACTGGTCCAGGTCAAGCAACTCACAGGTAAATCTGTGGTAGTGAACCCATCTTAATTCACCAAGACAAAACATGGACATGTTAATACTTTCAATCAATTAAGACCAAATGCTAAGTAATACTCAACATGTACACTGTTGAATCCTTCTTTATATTGATAATACTCTCTTAGGTAGATAAGCAGTTCTGCACAATTAATTTTTTTAAAAAGTTTCTTGTAAACAAGGGCTGCCATCAATAATGGCATCCCAAATTTCCAGGAACCAGTTCTATAAAAGCAGGTAATTTTTAGGAACTTATTGTGCTTATTTTCTCTTCAATCTGAGAATGGAAACAAATCACTTTATAGTATCAAAAAGAATTAAACTACTTTGATAACTTAATAGAAAACATTTATTTATTGAAATTCTGTTCAGAAGCTTTTTAACTCTAGTGTCATCAGTTGTATTATGGTTTCAAACTGAATCGCTGCAGTTCCAAAGATCCAATAGAAGACCTATCAAATTGATGACTAAAAGATTTGCAACATTTTTAACTTGAAGAGGATTTCTTTTGTCAGAATAAATTATGTTCCTCACAGAAAGCCCTCTTTCAGCTTTCACAGAACTTACAGCAATTGTATTAATTATATTTTTAAGTATTTGGATAGTTTTGGCCACAACATATTTATGATAATTTTTGTTATGTTTTCAATGTAATCATGAAAATCATTAACAGGTGTCTTATGTGTTAAATGGAGCATGAGTCTATTAGAGTTTCACTCGGAAGACACTTGAGTGTAGAGTAACTAACATTTTACCTCGACTATCGGCTATTAATATATAAGATTATTTTTGGATAATCCAACAACCAGTTTGTTAAGCTTTTATAATTTTAAGAATTGGTTTGCACAAACTTGTGTTATTGGTAGGATGCCACCACTAGCTACAAGGCATCTTGTTAATTTGCTTGTTTGGTCTTTTTTTATTGTATCCAGAGCTCCAATTATCATAGGTATTAAAATTGTTTTACAATACCACATTTTTTTCAATTTCTACTTCACTTTCCTTATATTTACTTATTTTGCCATATTTTTTAATATACATATTTTTATCTGATGGCACAATGATATCTATGAGAAGGCAATTTTTTTGCTTGCAGTCTTTAATTACTATGTCTGGCCCATTAGATTTTATGTGTCTGTCAGTAAAATTGGTAAATTCCTAAAAAATAGTGATTTCATGGCCTTCTGTATCTGGTACCAATTTTTAGCATGTGGTGCACTGTAATATTGAATATATATATCCAATGAATATACTGACCAATCTTATCATGTTGATCTTTGTATTCCTTCAGTGTTAGGATTACACATCCAGATACTAAGAGGTCAACAGCCAGAATATGATATTCATATAATCTATATATTGGGTCTGCACTATTATTTTTTATTATGGTTGTTGTTGTTGGTGTTTTATTCTTTTTGTTCTTTCAATATAAAATATTTGGATAGTATTTGATATATTTCATCTTGTCATCCATTCCATTCTTTCTTTTTTTCACTCTCTATAAAATTTAATATTCATCTGTCTTTTCAAACTTTTTGCTTGAAAATTATTAAAATGAGAAAGACATGAAAATAATCACATTTTTATTGCTTATTTTTCTGTCTTTCTTTTTGGGAAGTAAGCAAAAAATCATTTTCTTTTTTCTTTTCCTGTCTAAACACAAATTCCATTTTTTCTTCTGTTCTTTGCGTAAGCAAAAATCTTTTAATTTTCTCTCTTTTCCTAAACATACATTCTTTCTTTCTTTCCTTCTGTTCATCTACTTCTCTCTCTCTTTCTTTCTTTCTTTTTGTTACATAAGCGAAAAAAGTTTTCTTTCATTTTTCTTTCCCTTTGTCTAAGCACAGATTATTTTTTTCCATTATTCTTTCTTTCTGCTTCTCTATTTCTTTTTTCTTTCTTTCTTTACTTCTGTTCATCTATTGTACTCTTTTTTCTTTCTTTCTATTATGTAAGCAAAAGTTTTTCTTTCATTTTTCTTTCTATTCCTGTTTAAGCACAAATTCTTTCTTTCTTTTTTTCTTTCTTTCTTTCTTTAAAATTCTCCTGCAAGTAAATTTTCTACCTCAATTGTTTTTTTTACCATTCTTTTCTTGCCGTTCATTTTTCTATCTTATTGACCATTCTTTCTTTTATCATTCTTATTGACCACTCCTTCCTTGTCATTCTTTCTTTCTTTCTTTCTTATTGAACATTCTTTCCTTGTCATTCTTTCTTTCCTTGTTCTTTCTTTTCTTTCTTATTGAACATTCTTTCCTTGTCATTCTTTCTTTCCTTGTTCTTTCTTTTCTTCTTATTGACCATTCTTTCCTTGCCGTTCGTTTTTCTATCTTATTGACCATTCTTTCTTTTATCTTTCTTATTGACCACTCCTTCCTTGTCATTCTTTCTTTCTTTCTTTCTTTCTTTCTTATTGAACATTCTTTCCTTGTCATTCTTTCTTTCCTTGTTCTTTCTTTTCTTTCTTATTGAACATTCTTTCCTTGTCATTCTTTCTTTCCTTGTTCTTTCTTTTCTTCTTATTGACCATTCTTTCCTTGCCGTTCGTTTTGGAATATCTTATTGACCATTCTTTCTTTTATCTTTCTTATTGACCATTCCTTCCTTGTCATTTTTTCTTTCTTTCTTTTTTTTCTTTTCTTTCTTATTGAACATTCTTTTTCCTTGTCATTCTTTCTTTTCCTTGTTCTTTGATTTTTCTTTCTTATTGAACATTCTTTCCTTGTCATTCTTTCTTTCCTTGTTCTTTCTTTTCTTCTTATTGACCATTCTTTCCTTGTTGTTCTTTCTTTCTTTTTTATTGACTATTCTTTCCTTTTCTTTCTTTCTTTCTTTCTTTCTATTCATTTATTGCTCTCTCTTCCTTTCTTTCTGCTCATTAACTGATCTCTTTTTTTCTCTTACCTAAGCACAAATCCTTTCTTTCTTTTTGTTAAGCAAGCACAAATTCTTCTTTATCTATTAAGGAAGTCTGTCTATCTGCTGACAGATGAAATGTAATGATTTTTCTCTTTTATACTATGAAATTAAAAAAAAACATGAGTTTGCCATAGTTTTTTTTTTAACTCTAAATGATAGATCTACACTGCCAATCAAACAACACTGAGATGTCAGATTTGAGAGGTAGAAGCAGTAGTGAGGAAAAAATATGAAAGCTGGTGTCAGGATTCTGAAAACTAATTTCAGATGATAATTGAAGAAGAAGCTAGTGTCATAACTGTAACAGAGTTATAGCCAGAGAAAAAGAAAGCGGAAAAGAAATTGGAAAATTTAGGTTTGAGAAATGTATGGCAAATATCAGATAAAAGAGTTTAATCTGTTGAGTGAAACAGAAATTGTAGGCAAAAGATGTAGACTTTTGAAAGACGTAAATGAATTTGGTAATGAAAGATTTATTTGCTTTATTTATTAAATAAAATTAAATTTTATATTTTCAACATTAACTTTATATGTCCAAAACATATAATTAAAAAAAAAGAAAATTTGAATTTAAATTTAAAATTCTTGGCATCCTTTCTCCTTTGTGTGCATGTGTAGTTGTATCAAGGTAAACATCACTTTCGTTCGATAAAGTCCTGAATGAGAAGATGCATCACATGAAAACTTTTAGCATTTTGTCATATGTTTCTCTAAGATTAACTTTATTGAAGAACATGTTCACCATGCTGTTACACTGCCTTCTGTCATCTTTTAAACAACTTTATAATTTCATTCTTCCATAACTTTTATCTTTTTCAACAAAGTTATTGCACCTTGTGAACCACTCCACTATCAGTTCAAAAACAAATCATGAATATATCTGTGGTAGGTAACTACATAGTTACACCCACTCCTGTTGAGATTATCTCCCTTGAGTAAGGAACTCTTCTTGACTAAACCACTATAAATAGTATCCATTTTTGAACTAAATTAAATTTAAATTGTTAATTTGTAAATTAAATTTTAATTGTTAATTTTATAAAATAATTATACATACAAGAACTAGCTGGACTGCAGAGAAAAATTGTGGTATTTTGGTGACTGTAGTAAGATACTCATGGAGTCAGAGAAAATTTGAGGCAGCAGAAATGTGGTCATACAGAAGGATACTGAAAATTTCATGGATGAAGTGAGTAAGCGACAAGAAAGTCTTAAAGAAAATGGCAACACTTATACTCAGAATCAGGGAAAAGATAGCTGAAATTCCTTGGACACATAATGAGGAAGAAGGACTTGGAAAACATAACTCTCACATGTCATATTGAGAGCAAGAGAGATAGGGGAAGGCAGTTATCTGCTTACCCAACAAGCTTGTATAAATGGATGGTGGAAGGGAGGAGAAGGATCCTTAGCAAAGAGAGGAAAACTGCTAAGAGTCACACGATATAGAAAGCTGTTGAGAACCATAATCACCAATATAATGGAGGAATGTGGCACATAGAAGAAGTAAGAAAGGTAAGTGGTGTTATGGTGAAAAGAATGTTATTAAATAATTGGGTCAGTTACTGAGTCTAGATAAATTAAATATCGGAAGGATGAAGACCAGCCTTCCTCTAATTTTGGCCTTGTGCCACATTTAGTGTGAATGAATAAATGAATGCCAACACAGTCAGGATCATAAAGCCGTTGTTAACTCCATGATTCTTTCAATCACAGAAGGTTACATACAGATTTTAAATTCAAAGTTGTTATCCTGTTAGACTGGTTGCCAACCAAAGCTGAAGAGCCTAGTCCACCCTACTATTTCTTTTAAGCAATTAACCCCAAGCAAGGCAGGTGTGCCAATAGCATGCAAGGGGTTACAGAGGATTTAGAACAAGAGTAAAGAGGCATGTTTAAGGAAAGGATACAAAGAAGGACGGGGAACAAGATCAAGGTATCAGAAGATGTCGATTGACATTACACTTGAATATTTAAAGATTATAGTTAGCAAAGTAGCAAGTAAGTAGAAGGGAGTTCCCCAGATAGAAAGTGTGGGAGAAGAAGCAGTTTGAGTAGAAGAGATGGTTACATTTAACTGTTTTGACAGTGAAAGGGTGGGATTTAACCTATAGTTTGAAGTTTTGAATTCAGAGGCTATACAACTCAATCTGTCCTGCTATTTACCTATAGTTGGGGTAGGGAGAAGAGATGAATTCATACCTTTCTCAAGGATATTTGCATATAAGTGAATGTAATGAACTTGACCAGAATTTGAACTTGACTCTCTGATTCCTCAATCTGGGCCATTATCTATTACTCCATTATGCCTCATTTAGTGTATGTAATCTTACTTATTATAAAACGCAGATTGTGTGTATGTCTGTACGTTTATATATTGGATCAGATTTCCTACATTTTCAACCGATTTCAACAAAACTTCACAGGACTACGTAAAATTACCTTGTGGTGGTTCTGACAGCACCAAAAATTGGAAAAACAATTGTTTTTGCATGAAATCAATTTGAAAACACGATTCTGTCGCCAGAATGAAAGGGTGACAACTCATATCAAGTTATACTTATTATAAAACCCAGGTTGTTTGTGTGTGTCTGTGTTCGTTTATATATGGGATCGGATTTCCTCCGTTTTTCAACCAATTTCAACAAAACTTCACTTTTTTTTTTGGCAGGTAGTGTGTCTTATTGTCTTGCACACTTTTTTCTTTATTTTTACATTCAGAATGCTTTAAAAATTCCATTTACAAGACAATTCTTTATAATAAAATTCTATTCAATCGATAGACTCTTAAGTAACGATTGAAAACAATGTTTTTGTTTGGGTTTGACCAATTCGTAAAAAAAAAAAAAAAAAAAAAATACTTAAGACATGCGTGTCCGTCAACCTTAAATAATAAAATAATAATCTTTGTCAATTTTATTTTTTAGTGTTTATGATGGTCAATACTTGATCTATCTCTTACTGTTACTGTCCCTGGGCAACGCTGGGCTCTACTGCTAGTCACTAATAAATATTCTAAACTGAATAAAACTTCTTAAGCTACACCACTCTCTTGTGTATTCTTAAAATCTCTATCAATTTTAAGAAGACAGAATGTATGATTATCAGCAAAAGGAACATACCAAGCCGTAAACTATGAATTGGAGATTTCAAAACTCAAGCAAGCAAAGAAATTTAACAATCTAAGATGTGTTTTAACAGATGACAGGAAATGTGACAGAAATTGGAAGGTACACTGGAATAGCAAAAGATACTACATAAAAGCTAAACAGGATTAAAAAACTGGAAAAAATTTTCTTAGAAACAGAGAAAAGTATTCTTAACTTCTATGTAATATCAATCTGCCTATATAGCAGTGGTTACTGGACAATTTCCTCACAGATGAAAAGAAGACTCAGGTCAACAGAGATGTGGTTTTACAGGATGATATAAAGAATACCATGGCTAAAATATATGAGCATTGAGGAAGTTTTGAAGGAAATGGAAACAAAAAAGGGCATTTATACTTAGAACCAGAAAATTCAGATTTCTACGACACATTATGAGAAAGGTGGGCTTGCAAAATTTGCTACTCAAAGGACATACTGAAGGCAATAGAAGCAGAGAAACACAGTGAATAAATTACCTCACAAGCTTGTGTAAATGGAGATCAGAAAAGAAACTGGTAATGGTGATGAAAACATAAATCTTACTAAGAGCTACAAAGGATAGGAAGTTGTGAAGAGCCATTATTGCTCATGTCCTGAAGAATCACAGCACTTAAAAGAAGATTACTACCTATGACATTTGCAATCTTCTAAAGAATTGAACATTTTTATTTAGAGCAGACTAGAATAAATGATAATGTGAATATGTATTGTAGCATATCTACAGATGATAACAGATATGTCCTCATTCACATAAATACAGTAGTAAATACTGTATGTTGGTCTGCAGTTGGAGATTCATTGTGGAATTTACTTGACTCACTTCTAGCAGTTGACTATCATTCTACGTGCTGCTGGTGAATCTCATATATGTTTTTCTTGTCCTAAGTGTTTATTGTTCATTACCAACCTTCGCATGATTATTCTATTCAATAACCTTCTCTAGGTTACAAGAATTATAATATATGGTATGAAAACAAATTGTAGGTTTTCTTACAAGCATTTTTGTTTATACTATAATACAAAGTGCATTCAAAATAGAGTATTGCTGAATGAATTAGGCTGTTTTAAGTGTGTAAAAAG